AAAATTTGCGATACTGTCGGCATTGGCATTATCCAAGGTGTCCGAACACTGGCTAAAACCTTTTGAATGTTGTTCAGGATTATAACCTAGACAACAAATGTCAAGATCAAGGCCATTAAAGATTATTGCTTTTATTTTCATTTTTGAAAATAATATTTATTTTTTGAAAAAAAGAGAAACAATTTGCAATGGTCATGACCTTCACATGTTTTATCAATGTCATGATCCTGAACAACGTTCAAAAGATTTTAGCTAGTGTTTGGACACCTTGGATAATGGTAATGTCGATGGTACTCCAACTTTCAAGCTTTATAACTTAAGATTTACTTAACCAAAAAACATTTTATCTATGTGTTTTGGAAAGCTCTCGAAATAAGCTATAAGAATATGCAACGAAAAATGGAGGGTTCCATTAAAAAAATTCAAAGTGACCTTGTTCTGAACCTTGACGACGCCACTCAGGGTCAAACCAATGTTATTATTTTGTGTCTCTCTCGAAACCCTACAACTTTTGTCTGAAACATTTTTCTCTCAAACTTTGCGAATTCCAAATATTTGACTGTAAAATATAAAATGGGACACTCAGCTGTATATTTATTTTTTTATTATCTTCTCTTTTTTGAAGCATTTATTTGTTATTGTGTTACAGATGACTTTATTATTAACTGTTTCTGGTTTTAGTGGACAGTAAACATTCTGAAAAAATTATTTGTATAACTGACGATCAGACTACTGACAATGAGACCAGCGATGAAGAAAATTCTCCGCTTTGGACGAATTCGAAGAGCATCAAAAAATTTAAAATGAATACGAAAACATTGTTCCCATGCCCATATTGCCACGTTTCTTTCAATTCAAAACACTGTGTCGCTCGTCACATTAATGAGACGTGTTTATTAAATAAAAATTCAAGAACGAACAAAGAAACTGGCAGGCACCAGTGCCACCAATGCGGTTGCAGTTACGAAAAAGAAAAAAATTTAAAATATCATCAGAAGCACGAGTGCAACCGGACCGTAATATGCAAGAAATGTGGCTCCACTTTTCGGGGAACTATCGTTCCGAAACGGCATAGAATGAAGTGTGAATCGGACTAAATTCGTTCAAAATTGGAAAAATGAAGAAAGAAGACATACACGATGAACCCCATGAAAAGGACCCTAACGTTAGGTTCAGTTAAAAGCAAGACGTTTACTTTTTAGTATTTTAAACGCATTGATTTTATCTTAACATTTTTGTTTTACTATCAGAAAGTTGTGATATTTTTTTTCAGACAAAGTCTGTTTCGATTACGTATATATATACCTATATATAAAATCATTGTACGGTGCAAAAATGTTGCGTTTTTTTAAGTTATTGTTTTGTATTAATTTTGTGATGTACTGATGTAAAAAACAAATTAAAGAATTAATAAATAAAATGGTAATGAATGAATATTATCTTGTTTTGTGAAACTAAAATAATTATATTATTTTTATTTATAAAAAATGTATAAAATATAACAAGATATAAATAAGAAAGAAAAATATATAAAATAGTAACAGCAAATAGCGCACTGAAAATGCTGGAAAATAAATAAATACTGAGTTTATTGTCGTATCACATGCCTTTCAGTTTGCAGAAGGGAGTTTCATCATGGGATGTATTCGAATGTCTATACCTTCACCAGAAAGCGGATCCATGCAAAATAACAAATTTTCCGAGATCGTCATTTGGATCTTAAAGATATTCATTTATGGATTGTTATTTACTTGTTTTGTTTTATGCAGCGGTATCACTTCTAAATTAGCTGTCCCATTGGTCACCGCGCAACTACAAAAAAAATCCATCGTTACCCTCTTGTAACCGTGATTTAGACAATTTACTACATGTACAATTCATAAATTACAATATTTCCACTTCTTAATTCTTATATTCTAAAGTGTGAAATTTTTCAAATTTGATGATAAAATTTTTTTGCAAAGACAGATTGCGCACGTACAAAAAATGTTAATATTAAATCGCAATTTAATTCGAAGATTAAATTAAATGAAAATTTAATTTCAAGGAAATGACATTTATATATTTGAAAGGATAAAAGATACAGGATAAAAAAGTCAAATAATAATAATTATTATTATTTAGCAAAATTCAGCAGTGCGACTTGAAAAATACAAAAAAAGAATTGATGATAAATATTCAAAAGCAGACGAAAGAATACTTGCCAAAGATCTTAATGATTATTATTAAATTAATAACAATTTTATCTCAAATTTCGTATCTCTGCACTACTATAGATGACGTTATGTTGCATATTCTTTCGTTATGTGCTTATCATTTAAATGTTATGTGTTATTGACACATATATGATTATATATTGACTCTTACACCAAACGTTATAAGCTTCTATATCTCTGCAAGATAATTTCATAAAAGAAGAATTATATTCAAATTAAGATTATTTACTCTTCCAATTCGATGCACATAATTAGACTTCTCATCCGGTAGAGTTACATTTATCACTAAAAAAGAAAGAAAACTCTATGCTCTGTCCCCTTATATTCCTATCATGAAGTACTTCATGATTAATGCCTAGACATCTGAAGTTGCATGCATATCTCTAGAGAGACCAATGGCTGCGTTCAGCAGAAAAAGTGGCTTTGCAACTGTTGTAAAATTCTTTAATTTGATTGGTTTACATTTAGATCCGTGAAGAACTAAAGGCAAGAACCAATCATGTTGAAGAATCTCACAACAGTTGCAAAGCTGTTTTCTCTGCTGAACGCAGCCAATGAGAAGCACGCGTTGGACAGAAAGCGTGCTTCTTATTGGTCTCTCTAGATATGCATGCAACTTCAGATGTTTAGACCGGTATGAAGCCAGCTGTCGAACTAACGATTTCAATAATTTCGAATGCGTCATTTGATTGCTAGTCGTT